CCCCAAAACCCCAAAACCCCAAAACCCCAAAACCCCAAAACCCCGCTATTAATGTGTCTAATTGACACTCATAAATAATTAAAAAGACACTACTATGGCAAGACACGGTCGTAATACAGATAAACAAAGGTCTTCTAACAGCAAGAAGAATGCTCCTTCTCATCCTCACCAAAAGAATACAATGAAGAAGAGAGTTAGAAAAGAGGAGGAGAAGGCTTCAGAGCCATGCAAAGATTCCTCATCTTTATCGAAAACTCCTTTGCAAGATGAAAAAAGGTACTATATTTCCTTCAAAGTCGTGTTTAACTTTCTGTAGTGAGAAACAGAAATTTGAGATTTTTGAATTTACAAAGGATGTAATTTTGTTCTGTTATATGTAGGAACAGATTTACAAGAAAGGCATGTTCAAAATATGTGTTCTCAAAGGAGCCATCCAGATTAACAATGCAATCATCAAGGCCCAAAAAGAGAGAGTCGAGCATTACTGCTATAATGCTACAAGATATCCTATTTATGCAATCAAGCATGCTCCAAAAGAGTTTTATACTGAAGGTAATCCTTATTTTTCACTCATTAGCATGTTTTTGTGTTTGGTAAAATTTTACTCTATTTTCTCATGACTTCCTCTAGACTTTGTTCCTCCTGATACAGTGGGTCAAGAGGTTCCATCTATAGCAAGGAAATATAAGAAGCTCTCGTTTGGGCCTGATCCGATAAGCACTATTTTCTATATCAAGTTTGAACAAAAGAACTTTGATAAATTCTATATTACTCATCCTCTAGAAAAATGTGGTAAAGTTGTCGAATCTGTCTGGAAAAGTGGACTAAAAGTTATTGAAAATGACATCAATGAAATGTTTGAAGCTAAAGAGAATTTTGTCCCAGTTTATATCAAAGGTGAAAGTAATTCTGGAAAGAGCATGTTCTGCAAAGCCTTGATCAATAAAGTTCTCACTCAAATGTCCTCTAATATAAACGTGATTTTGCTAGATATTGATCTCTCCCAGCCAATTTTTGGAATCCCTGGATGCATCAGAGCAATAAAATTTAACGCTCCTCTCTTATCAAATTATGAACTAAACATAGATAACTCACTAAAATCTGGAGGTGTAGCTGAGGTAGTGAAATCTTACTTCATTAATGAGATAAACTCTGAGAGAAATGCAGAGTATTACAAAGGTACAGATTTTCAGATTTCTCGATCATCTGATCGAGATCAACCGTTTCATGGCATGATTGGGACTCTCTACAAAAGCCTCATGGAAAAAGCAAAAGAAGATGGTCGCACTGTCGTTATTATCAATGCCTCAGATGATAGATCTGAAATGAAAAATATGATTGTTTACAGAATGGAGCCATTAGATTTTGAAAAAGGTATTCTACCCAAAGAAAACAAGTCAATAGAATCTCTCGATGTTTTACAACATTATAAAAGCTCAAAGGGAAGTAGAAGGAACAAACTTTTAAAAATGAATATGTTCAACTGCACTCCTGAGTTAGATTACTATAAAGAAAATATGAGATATCCCAAAAAGATCATTAACTTCAAACACAAAGACAGAATTCTTGATGTCTTATATAGTAACATGAAGGACTACAACATGTTGCTTAAATTACAACCGTGCCATTACTATTATCGCAGCAATTGCTACATCAGCATCGATATGAGCGAAGAAGTACACTCAGACATGAAGAATACAAAGCACATGAAAGATCTTTTTCAGGAAAGAGTTGTTGCTCTCTGAAAAGTAAAATCCTCAGATCTTGAAATGATCAAGAAAGAGCATCCAGAACTCCAAAGAGATAATCCTTCTTAGTAACTTTATTGCTTAACTTTCGAAATAGTGCTAACCCAGTTATCGATTTTGACATATTCAGAGAGTTCAACATTCCTTTAGAACAGATTCAGTTTGGCTTCCTTGACTCACTAGAAGTTGATGAAATTAAAATCAAGCACAGGGGTGATGAAGTCACTCCTCAAGATGAATCTGTAGAAGTCGTCATATGTGTCTGTGATTACTTAAATGCACACAATTTGGTAAAAAACAAAGAAAAGAGGGGATATACATTTGGTGATACCGCTTCAATAGACAAAGCTAATGAATATGAGGGAACTTTCACAGATTTTCTTTATTATGAATCTATAAAAAGGATGTAGTTGGCCATTATAAACGTATTCAACTTATCTTATCTTAGCTGGGGTTTTGGGGTTTTGGGGTTTTGGGGTTTTGGGG